CATTATTTCTTTGCTAATTTTCGTACCCATATAATTTTATATAATGATTATTGAATTGTAAATATATATTCATGTTTATTCTTGAAATCTATATTAAACTGTAAGTAAATTCAATAATATTCAGGTTATATTCAAATCTTTTTTTCAATATATGTTGATTTAGAAAATATGATGTTTTTTAGAAAAAAAACAAATTTACTAAATTAAGTAAAAAATGAATAATCTAATAAAAAAACTGATTTTTAGAAAGTCTAGCATTCTAAATACCCTTATCCCAGTCTTTAAAATAATTATTTTGAGATAGAATAAACTGAATACCTTAAAACAAATAAAGAATATTTAGATAAACCAAAAACAATATAATATCTTTTGTTTAAAACTGATAAAAACATTAAAAATAAGATAAAGAATATTAAATTAATTGGAATATCAACAATAATATCATTCTATCTTACAAGATACTTTGAAGAAAGGCAAATAATAATCTAATGATTTTTTCTCTATTATTAATTTAATATGTCATTAAAAAAGGAATATTAATTTCTATTTGAAGTACTTATTATTTGAGAAAAAACTCTTTTATATCCTTCTTTCCTCAATAATTTTTAAAGTATAATAGTGAATATATAATAATGGTTTGAATAAAATTAAAAACAAAAGATATTAAAAATGTTTCTATAATTAATGAATAAGGAATATACTATAAAAAATGATATTATTTAATTTAGATCTTTTAGAAAAATATCTTTGAACTTTTCTTAGGAATTTATCGTCTCATAAAGGTCAATGGTGCGTGTTTATTTACTCTTTTTGTTATACTTTAATAAACTACCAACTTTCCAATGTTTTAAAAAAGTAAATAATTTTCTCTTATTCAATTTTTTGTTAATATTTATTAAACTGTATTTTTAACAAAATACAAAGAAGTGAGGTTTAAAAATATTCAATTCATAAAAATATCAATTTACTATTTTTTCCAAGACATTCTCCAAATTTATCAGGAAATGAGAATAAAATATATATTTTTGGTAGTTTCCTTTAAATCAAGAATGCTTCAAGAAGATACAAGTAACTAAGAAATTTGAATTTTTCTTTTTTTTGTTTTTGATTAATTGTACTAAAAGAGTAAAAAAACTAACAAAAAAAAAGAAATTAGCATTATAATTTTTAAACGAATATTAACTAATAAGAATAAAGAAAAAAAAAGAATAAAGAATTTTTTCTTTTTTAAAAAAAAACTATAAAAATAAATTCAAACTGAAAATGATATAAAAGTAATAAAAAGATGAGCGTTTGTTCTTATGACAAAGAAGTAAATAAGAAAACAAAAAATAAATAAGAAATAGAATAAAAGTACATGTGGATGGGTAGAGTATAGAGTAAGTAATTCAAAAAAATTTACAAAAATATATATGGCATTATTCCCAGATTGTATTAGACTATTTACCGGAGAAGATGTAAGTAAAGAAAAAGTTTGTTTAACTTTTGACAAAGCTGTATTTAGTAGAAACATTTCAAATAAAAATAAATTTCCACAAGATAAGATTGAAATTGGATTTGAGATTGTTACGGATAAATGTTATCAATTTGTTTGTTATAACAAAACTGACTATTTTCAATGGATTAATACAATTCCATTATTCTGTAATTTTACTGGTGTTTTTGGATATCCATTACAAGCAACTGCATCAAAAAAAAAGAGTGGTTGGAGATTTCCTTTACCAATTTATCGTTCAATTGAATATCTAAAAAAACATGGAGGAGTAGAAACAGAAGGAATATTTAGAGTTAATGCTGTTTATACATGGATGAATAGAGTAAAAGAATTATTAAATTCAGGACAAGACATTAAAGATGAAGAATTTGGTCCAGAAGGAGTTCATGTTGCAGCGTGCATAATAAAACTATTTTTAAGGGAATTATCTGATTGTTTAATTCCAATGCAGTTTTATCAACAATACGTTTCTGTAGGAAATACAGAAAATGTTCAAACTAGAGTAAAAGTTTTAAAACGATTAGTGTCTAGTCTTCCTGACACAAACAAATATACTTTGTGGTATCTTTGTGACTTCCTTGTAGATGTATTAAACCATCAATCAGTAAATCAAATGGGAGCTTCTAACTTATCAATTTGCTTTGCACCTTCTATTATTACTTCACCTGATATTAATCCAACATTAGAAATAGAGAATTCTGCAAAAATTCGTGTTGTTTTTGAAACATTTTTAGAACAGTTTAATTCAATTTTTGGAGATGTTGCAACAGAAAATAGAAAAATGGGAATGGTTTCTCCTCCTTATCCTGCTGTTACTCCTACGGCTGCAGTTTCTGATGCTATTGTAGCAGAACAAGTCGCTCAAGAGTCTAATAGAAGAAAAACTTTAAGTTTTAAGGGTAAGATATTTTCAAATACATCAAATAATGATGAGAAGAAGGATGAACCTCCTAAATCATTTTTAGGAAGAAAAGTTCATACGTCTCAAGAAAGTTCTATCTCAGACCGTACAAATGCAGGGTTATCTTCGGTTCAAAGTTCTGTTACTACATCTGGTATTGGTTTGACTCAACAAACTTTAGGACATCAAATCATTGATGAAAAAGAAAGGTTTGCTTCATTAGAAGAAAAAATAGCTTATTTAATGAGTAAGTTTGAAGAACAACAAACAACAATCCAACAACTTACTCAACGTATTGTGTTTCTAGAACACCAAGTAGCACTAAAAGATTCTTCAACAAAAGGTAATGAAGAACAACAATTTGGATTATCACCACCTAAAGTTAAAGTTGACTTTTTGGCTATGAGAAAAACAATGAATAAACCAATTCGTCAAGAAAATATTGCTTCAAGTGCACCTCCTTCAAACAATCCTATTCTCCAACATACTCTCGAACAAAACTATCAACACCCAGATGACATGGGTATTCAGCAAGAATATACTATGGAAGATGACCAGTCCCACAAACAAGAAATACCTGAACAACCCCCTCAACTTCCTCCTCCAAGAAGGGGAGCTTCATCTGCTAACAGATCTTTAAATCCAACATTATCTTCTAATGACTCAATAAGGAGAGGTGGTTTTAAATCAACTTCATTAAGTAATTATGAACAACCAACAACTAGTGTTTCAGCCCCTCCACTAAGCCCAGGGCTTAAAGGAAGAGGTGCACTTAGAGGGGGGTATCATTAAATGAAAGAACCAAAAAAAACATAATTAACATCAGTTGTTTATTTTCTGTTATATGTAACAAAATTTGTTAACACTTCTGTTTAGAATTGTTAAGTTGAAATTAGAAAAAAAGGAAAATAAGAAATGGAAGAACTATAAACTTAATAAGTTTAAATATGGCACAAGAATTGTTTGTTTTATTTAACCAATAACATATTGTTTTATCAATAATAAGAAGTGAATATTCAAAAGATTAGTGATTATTTATTTAAAATATTAATGATTGGTGATTCAGGTGTTGGTAAAAGTTGTTTACTGTTAAGATTTTCTGTTTGTATTCTTTAATTTTGACTTTTATATAGAATTAAGTCAAGAATTGTATTTGGTTTCATTGTGGGGGAGTATATACTATATTTTTAGTAATTTTTAAATTACATCATAGTTTTAACTAATCAATATAGGATGACGTCTTTTCAGATACTTATATTACAACTATTGGTGTTGATTTTAAAATTAAGACATTAAAAATCAATGGAAGAGATATTAAATTACAAATTGTTTGTTTTCTTCTAAATACTTTAACTTTATTTTAAAAGAAATCATTTCTAACTAAAATAGTGGGACACTGGTTTGTCATTTGTATTTTATTGAGATTTGAATACTAATAATTTATTTTAGCTGGACAAGAACGGTTTAGAACAATCACCTCTTCATATTACAGAGGGGCTCATGGTATTATTGTTTGTAAATTCATATTTTTTGACGTTAAAAGATAAAAATGTTTAACAAAGTAGGTTGTTTATGATGTGACAGATGTTCAATCTTTTAATCATATTCGTCAATGGCTTAATGAGATCGAAGGTAATGCATCTCCAAATGTTGTCAAAATGCTCATAGGAAATAAAGCTGATAAAGATGCAACCAAAGCAGTTTCAACTGAACAAGCAGCAGAATTTGCAAAACAAGAAGGAATGAAATTCTTTGAAACATCTGCTAAACAATCAATTAATGTAGAAGCTGCTTTTCTAGAACTAGCCCAAGACATCAAGAACCAAATGAAAGAAACGCCTCGTGTTACTCCAGATAATGTTGCAATTAAGCCTGAAGTTCAACAAGAACCTCAACCAGGATGTTGTTAAAAAGTGATGCTTTCTTTTAAAATTCTAAATGACTTTTCAATTATTTAATAAAATAACTTCCTTTTGAACAATCAACTAAATAAAAAAGAAAAAGATAAGTTAAAAGAAAATAGTTGAAGATGAATCTCCTTGTGACTTTTTGTCTTTAGAATTTAATGCTCCAGCTTAATTTAATTAGTATTTATTTGAAAAATAATATAAAGAATAAGAATAACAAACCCCACTCATCCCAATAAGCATCATTTGCTTCATTTGAAATTCCCCAGCCAAATACATCATTTTGTTGTTTTTGTTGAACTTTTGTTTCATTAATGACTTCTAGTTTTGAAGTAGTTGGTTTTTCTTTTAGTAAAACTGTTGTTTTGTTAGGTGTTTTATTCTGTAGATTTTCAGGAAGACCAATTTCTTTTAATTGTCGTTGTTTTTGATCAGCTTTTTGGAAAGTTTTTGACTGAGAAGTTGATGGTTTTTTACCAATCATCTTTGTTAATCTTTCAATGTCGTCATCTTCTTTAGTTGTAATGTTTTGGTGAGTATTAACTGATTGGTTCTCATTTGTTTTTTGTTGTTGAGAAGGAAATTCTGGATCTATTTCTTCAAAGAGAGTAAAAACATCTTCAGGATTTTGTTGTGGTGTTACAGCATTACTTCTTTGAGGAGATACATTCCATAAATCAGTATTAACTTTTTGAACTGGTTTTTGTTGATCATAAATAACATCAGCAGGTTTTTTAAGATTCAAATGAGGTGTTTCTTTTACTTCTTGTTTTTGTTCTTCAGGTTTTTGCTCTTGTTGTTGATTGTCTAGTTGTTCAGAATATTTTAGTACTGTTTCTGTTAATGAAGAAAATAATTCTCTTGCTTTATTTCTAACATTTTTGTGGTCATCAACAAGGAAAACAGAGATGTAAGGCAAAATATTACGAGCACTATCATTTGCACTAAAATCATTAATGTTATCCTTTATTCCATTGATTATTGCAATTCTCATTTCTTTGACAGCATCTTTACCACTACGAGCAATAGAACATAACAGTAACCTCTTTCTTGTTTCTACTGTAAAAAATGAACAACTTTTTGAAATACAAACAACTGTGTTTGTTCTAACAATAAGACTAGGATCACCAAGCGCTTTTTCAAATCTGTTTGCACACTCTAACTGTTTAGATTTATTAACTTTTTCAACTAAGACTAAAAGTGCCCTTATTCCAGCATCTCTTATTTTATCATTTTGATGGTTTGTGCATTGAATAATACTAGGAAATAATGACTCTGCAAAAGATGGAGTTATGTGTTGAGAACAATAACGTAATGACCCTAACGCACTATATTTTGTTTGGAGGTCTGATGAATTAATAAATTTAGGAATATAGTTTTGTACTTGTTGTACAAATTCATCTTGTTCCAATCCACTTGAAACTTTTAACAATGACTCTACTGCACATGAAGCTTCTGGCATATTAGACCTAAATAAATCAATATAAAATGGAAGTAATTTATATCTACAAAATAATGATGGAAGTGAAGTTTTAGTAATTGAGCTTAAGAAAGAACGACGAGTAAAATCGTCCAATGCCGAATAATTATCCATGTTATAGACAATGGTTAAAAATGGTGTTGAAACACTTGGATGAGTTAAAAAAGAAGTTATTGGTTGGGAGGCTAATGAAGAAATTAGTGCTTGAAGTGGTGCTGGAGGATTTGGATATACTTGAGAAGCCAGTTTAGAAAAAGAATAACTATCAACATATTCTGAAGATGAATCATTTGGTAAATGACCAATACTTCTATTTGCTTCTATATATGTTTTGAAATCACCTAATTGTCCTAATTGAGTAACATATTGTAATCCTCCTAATTTCCATTCTCCACTCTTTGTGACAAAAACACTATTCTTTGTAATGTTATAATGACCTAATTTAGCTGTTATATTAAGAAAATGAATAGCATTGGCTAAAGAAAATAAACCCCATAGTACCATATCTTCATTACATTTATTTGACTGAAGAAAACTAGTTAATGGATAAACTTCTTCTGTTAGTATTACTGTTGTTCTATCATTAGCTACATGATCCAAGTAATTTATAATGTTTGGATGTTTTAATGTTCTGAACCGTTTAAGCACATTCTCATTTAGAATTCTTGGATTACTTGAAGGAAATTCAAATAAACTAATATTCTTTTTATCTGAAACTTTCTTTGCATGATAAACAGTATATGTAAAATTATTTTCAGTGATAGTTTCTTGTTTTTCTTGTGACTCATATGGAAGACTTGGTCCAACAAAGGCTTTGAATAATTTCATTTGGATTTAATTATGTCTTTTTCAGTACAACAAAAACATTCATATTAATTCAATAGTTTTATTATAATATCAAATAATAAATGGAAAAGAGAATAGTTAAAGAAACTCAAAACAAGAAAAAAAAAAAAAAAAAAA